TCGTTTGATGGCTCGTTGTCGGCTGGCCTCCTCCTTGCCCTTGTGCCAAGAGGCCATGAACCTCTCAGCTCCCTGTAGCACCCCCGCGTGCCACGGTACCCCCCCCTCCACCTTCGCCGCCTCACTCCAGACTAACTTCGGGACTCCGAAGACGCTCGGCTTGTCGGTCGTGGAGCCGTACCTGGCTTCGAACATCTTCATGTCGTCCTTCAGGCATGTCAGCCAGTTCTGCTCCGGGTTTCCCTGGCCCGGGTCCTCCCCTCCCACCAACTCGCCGAACATCAGCCGTTTCGGAAGCCGCCCGTCCGGCTGTCTTGCCACGGCCCCCGCAAAGAGCAGGCGCCGTTGACGGACCGGGAGTGCCATAGTGCAATTTAATCCTGTCGTGGTTCTCTTATTCGTGCGTTCTTGGCGTGTTGAAGGGGTGATCATTTGTTGCATCCCGCAACTTCGGGATGCTTAGGCATTCATCGCACATGATACTGTACCTTTTCGTTCTACCGTTCTACCTCGTAGAACTAAACTTGAGCTTCCGCCCCCCAATGTGTTCTACAGTAGCCTTCGCGGTCGAAGCACCATGGGCCGAAAATTTGATGCTCAGGCAAACAACGCCATGCACACAAGTACAAAGTCTACCAATATAGGGTCATGCCGCATGTCGCAGCGAGCGCCGGCCGAAAGGGACAAGGTGAGGATTCTTCAGACGAAACAACACCTCTTACCTTGAACGCCAGCATTGTCTGGGCCGTAACCCCGATTGCTGTACAGACGTGGAAACACATACAAGAACGAAATTATTGGAGGTACGGCTGTATTTTTCTTCCGGGTGACCACCAGCGGTGAGACCGGTGACTGGGTATGACACGAGTTTCGAACGTGGTGTGAGGGAAAGACGATGGCTTCAAACGCGAGAACACAGCGCGTTAACCTTACTGAGGACACCGGTGCTTGTTGTTGAAGAAAATGACGGGAAATATATAGTCGTTGGTGTATGCTTGCGGGTGTTACGTCAAGCTACCTAGGTGAGGCCGCACACGAGAGGCTCACGAACCAACGTGTTCAACGCTGGGGGCAGATGAAACGACCAACTCCGGTACTCTTACCCTGAAGCATTACCATGTGTGAGTGGAGTAACTCTGCGCTGAAGGACAGGACTTGAATCATGACGTCTTACTCAACAATAGGGTTAGAGCGTGAGACCCATCCGCGTAAGCTTGCCAGAACCCAGGGTTGTACCCATGTGAGAACTCATGGAGTGCCAGAGTTCCTTGTGGATACCTTGGAAAGGTCCTGGTACAACAATGTAATGTAGTGTCTGGATCAAGGCTTGCACAGAGAGGGGTAGCGCCGATGTGTGGCGCTGCCGTTAGTCCGGCGAAGCACGAGATGGCTGGGTAAGTACCACGACCGACTGCGATCGGGGTAGCCCCCCAGATCCTATGGATGTAACTCTCTCCATCCTGTAGTCCGCAGGGTTTGCCGAGTGGCCTGCTGCCGGCGGCGGGGTCGGGTGTCGGAGAAGTCGATGAAGATGTCGGATGGTACGCCCCTACGACGGGCGAAACCGACCGGCGTATAGAGCAGCGATCGGTGGCGAGCAGAATGCTCACGTGCGGCGGGCATCCGCTGGCAAACGGGCTTGGTGGAGGGACATGGAGATGGGTTGCTTCCCTCCACCGCAAGTCAAAGACGAGGACGCCGGGCTTTATGCGGCCAACAAGAGTTCGGCAAGCTGGTGGGAAGGTAGCGCATGCCACGACCCACCTGGGCGGCAAGTCCGCGGTGGCGCGACAAATCAATCCCGACAGTGTTGCAGCCGGCGCGACCATGTTCTTTGAGGTTCAAGTCTATCCCTATCAGTCGCTGATTCTTCGACGGGACTGCGTGTGTCAACGAAGACTTTCAAGGCGAAAACAAGAGAAAGAGGCACGACGTCTGCCCCGCTAAGTCTGGAGGGGTACAGAGGTGTGTCTCAGCGTTTGGGTTGGTATCTCGAGGCCATCTCGTCGCCGAAACGTCGACCAATGCAACGTGTAGGTAGCAATAAAGTTTGCAGTGCTGATGTATGTAGTTTCCCCCGTGGCCGGCAGTCAGTGTGGCGGGTGTACGACTAGACCAATCAGTCAACCGTAGAGAGTACTTTCAGGTTGGCGCCAACTTCGAGCTACGGCGTGCTTTAACAACGAGGATGTAGAAGGCATTGTTTCCAAGCACCGGGAATGAACATCTTCTCGTTACTTTAAATCGTCTCCTGTTTACAGAGAAAGCAGTTCGCATACGTCTCGATTTTGTTGTACTACTTTATCCGGGGGATACCTGTTGCCCTATATGGCGGCTTAGCGCGAAAAAGGTTTTTCAAATCGGGAACTTTGGGATAGTAGGAAGTTCAGTCAAACGTGAGCGCCGAAGCGCCGGTGACAAGTTCTTCTCCAAAGTGCGACGCCTTTCATCTCCTCAGGGTTAATTCGACAAAGAAGATACTGCACAACCCTGACCAGTGCGACCAATGCGGAGAGACCTCTCGTTTTCCGACTTTCTTGTGAAAACTCGATCACCCTGCGGGGACAACCTTGGAGCCGCCACCACTGATACCCCCGCCCCCGCCCGTCCACGCCTGCACCCTCGACACGCCCCCGGCCCCGCCCGATTCCATCGCTCCGACGTCGTGGTGGTGTTGCTGATCGCTCAGGCCTCTTTGTCGACCTGATTGCTGGGCGGAGTACACGCTCCTATTCGGCCTGGCGCTGTGGTTTGAACGCGAGGCGTGCACCCCGGCGCTGATCTCGTTGCTGTCGATCGGAGCGTCGAGGTCCTGGTGCACGATGGCCCTGCGCAGGGCTCGCTGTAGGTGTGTCGCTAAGTCTGGCTGGGTTTCTGCCTGTTGTTGTTGTTGTTGTTGTGGAGAGCATTGGGTGGCAGGTGAGCGCAGGAGGAGCATGTTATGCGATTCGCTTCAGGGTTGAAGGAAAGGGTGTCGTTCTGCTGGCTGGGGTCGTCCCACAGATCCAATCCTTGGAAAAAAAATCGACTTTCTGAGAAAACATCCTTCGGGGTCTGCCTCTGTTCGAATATTTTTACAGTCACCATCCGAATCACTCCGAATTGCGAAAGTTGGAAATAGTCGGGCGATGTTTGAAACGACCTTCTAGCTTAGAGCGCGAGTAGGAACAGAGTTGGATGCCTCGCTCAACGGAGAGGAGGGACTCGAGCTGCCCCACAGCTTGTCGAGCAACTTTTGCTATGAAACGCCCAATCAGCAAACGCAGCTCTGATATCAAGCTCGGTAGTGGAGTCTACCTGTGACCGATTGCGGAAACCCATCTCTTCCCCGCTCGGACAGGACTGGGTATGTACTACATATTCCATGGCAAAGAATCCGGCCGCATTTCCTCAATACCCTTTGCGTACAGACTTCAACACATCCATTCGACCAGGCTATCATCTCGAGCTTGCACGACTTTCTTTGATGATATGCGTATTTTCGAAGAAAGATCCGGACCAAATGTCCACATGTTAACGCATCATTCGCCGGCCGTTGGTCTGCCGGTCTCACCAAATGCAGTATGGTGTTTTCCGATAGGAGGTACATGGAGCAGTCCACGAGGGCGCGCACCCCCATCCTCTCTCGGTCTCCCTCATCTGACCCGACACGCCCGCTGCCGCTGCCGCTACCGCTGTTACCGATGCTACCGCAGTTTCCGCGATTACTGCGATTGCCGCAGTTATCGCGGTTGTTGATGTTGTTTTGTGCTTGCAAGAAATACTCATGCCCGAAAAAATTTCCCTGTTGCACGGTGTAGAGGCTCACTTGACTCCCGGTTTTGTCTTGGAGGAACGCCTGCGTTTTGGGTGATTTTGGGTGTGCGGTGGGGGAGAGTGCGTGAAACCTTGGAGGTAGGTTTGCCGGGGTCCGATTTTTGAGGTCCTTTTACGTTGCAGATTATTGAGTCGTTTTTGCACGTGGGTGCACCGTTTTTTACCTCTGCAGTCCCTGTCAGCAGGAAGTAGACACCGTCGCTCTCGTGGATCGGTTTGTAGACGTAATTCCCGGCGAGGGTGAAGAGGGGCGTCATGTGCCGCAGGATGTACGCGGTGTGGTTCGCGTTCATGTGCTTGAAAATACCGATTTTGCGCAAAACATCCTGCCGTACGGCAGTGCAGACACGAACCACCGTGGACGCGCAAAGTGGTGGCGTGTTACGCGGGGCGAGAGGGGGTGGGCGGGGGTGGCGTCTCATGTTTGCATGTAGACCGTTGACCACGTGTCCTCGTGAGGACGGAATCATGTGATCAGGGTCGAGGGGACTTAAGACTAAGCAATTGGAGGTTGTGTCTAGCATGGACATCGTGTTGGTTTTGCAGCGGGGGGGGAGCTCTTCACTTGTTGTGCGACCAGCCTCGTATCGGAATTGGAATCTTGAATCAGATCCGACGGGGGTAGCTGCGAAACGAGTGACGCGGAGGCTATCCAACAGCAAACACAGAAAAGTTCCACACACAGAAGTTTAACACGGATGAATAGTAGCTGCAAGTACATGAAGACAGCTCAAAACAACTCCTGTTTTGCAGACCAGAAGGCAAGTGGTGCACTCCACACCATGTCCATCGTGCAGAACCCAGGGACAAACAACCCCATCCCACCGCCGTTTACCCAAGAAATACGCACTGCGGTCTGACTGTGGGAGGAGCTGTATGTGCTCGAGAGCAGTGCGGGCTAAATGAAACGGCACGGCTATTTGGGACAACGTTGTCCCAAAT